GGGTTCAAGAGGTTTTAAAAAATCTGGTTCTTACTCAGATTAAAATAAATCATAATAAGTCGTATTAAATAGTAAAAGCCAACCTTGTTTGCATCTTTTTCGTAAGGGTGGTATATTGGAGAAATGCTTTTAGGTCAGATGGGAATTTTTCTGTTATTGCAATACCACAAGTGTCCACTGGGACAAAAGGCCAAGCTGCAGAGCCAAATCCAGTCCTCCTGACACATCCATGCCCCACACACCTTTTTCATTTTCTTCTTCTTGTAGTCTTCAGCCCCAACTAGCAATTTATTGGATTTTGTACAGCTCCCTCCGGCCACAAAGGGCTTTGTACAATTTTCTCACATATGCAGTAGTGCTACCAAGAACCACAAAGTGGATTTCCCAACAAGCAGATCTTGTGCTAAAAAATGCACAAAAAAACCCATCACCAGAACATGTGGCACAGTTTTACTATTGGGCTCATTTCAGACACTGTTTCAGCTGTAAGAGGTATTAATTTATGCAAGTTGAAGCAGAAAAACGGACGTGAATATCTAGTGACAGTGAGCTTGTTCCACTGCTTCTGCTCAGAGTTAAAAACTATCAAAGAACGAGTGAAGCCAAATAGGATGAAAATCCACCAAATAATTGTTCCACAAAGTACAGAACTAAGACTTTGATGGCATGAAGGTCATTTATGGGGTCAAGAAAATATCATGAAAAGCTGTTTTGCTATTGTGCAACCACGCAATATGGGAAAAGTGTAGTATATGCTCCATATGGAATCTTAAAAACCTTGGGGAGTCAAGTCTAATATATCTCGACAATTTCAATTAAGGTTTCCCACACAGAGAATCTTAATGTGTTTACTGTTGGAATAAACATTATCACAGCAGCAGCAGCATCTCTTGAGGGGTGATTTTTACACTTGGAAAGATTTCTTACTTTAGTTGGTATTTGACAGAGCCTCTGCCAAGTTGAGGGGGAATGTAAAATAAAATAAAAAAATCTTGAATAAATACACAATTTCCCCCTTTTTTCTTTTCTTCTTTCTTTTAAAAAAAATATTACAGCTTCTCTTTCTACTTAATTAATTTACCAAGTTGTTTTTTTCAGCGTTGTGAGGTTTGTAAGGCTTTCTAAAGGATTCAGCTTTCCCCTGTGTGTAAAGCTCTCCTACCTTTATCTCCACTAAAGCCGAGCATAATATTTCCATGTTGCCTACACCTCCTAGCTATTACAAGGCTGTGAAGAGGATTCTCCAAGGTTAAGGAATAGATTAAGGATATTTTCAGAATAGATTCTAACCCAATAAAGATTTTTTTTTTTCTTTCTTTTTACAGGATTAGCGTCTATGAGTTGTGCTGTAGTCTTCCCACCAACAAGCAGCTTACTATATCCCTCACTTCTCCATCCCAGGAGGCTCTGGAGCTCTTCAGGCCTGACTTCATCAGCCGATCTCAGGGTCGGGTGAGGAGGTTGGAGCAGAGGGCAAGGAGAAGGAAAGCACTGCAGGACTCCAATCCAGACCTGGTGCAGGGCCTCGGGGAAGATCGAGGCGCGCAAAAGAAGAACTGCACCACACCGGACCCACTTAGCGGTAAGTAGAGCTGAATAACTCAGCCGGAGACCTGGAGAAGCAAAGGGAAGGCAATTAAGCGGAATATAATGTCACCCCCTCCCTTTGCCCAGTGGACGAGCAATCTGAATGTTTTGGCTCTGCTGTCAGACCACCAGTGGTGACAGCAGTAAATCAACAACTGTAGGTCACATGATAAAGGACCTGTGAGTTGTGGAAGTAGAAGTGAGGCATCAACCCTGGTGGCGACAGCAAGCAATTCAGCACCGTCAGATCAGATAGTCTCCCAGGAGCCGGTCCAAAGCGGACCCTCGTCTTCTGCATCGATCTTTTTGCGACGTTTCCTATCTCTTGTTGCGTCACTTCTGCCGAGACAGATGCATTGATCAAACCTCTGAACTGTTGGGATGAAAAGGCCCTCTGGTGGGTGTAGTTTTCTGTAAACAAACATACATCGTAGCTGGCCACACACAGAGTCGGAAACCACAGAAAGAATTAAAGAATTTACAGTCGTTTTGGTGCTTCAAGAAGCTGTTTGTCAGAGCACAATTCATTTTAACTTAAAAAGCCTCGGCTCATCTGGGGGGGCGGGAAGGATTTTCACAAGTTATTCTCTTTATTCTTGTAGTACAGTGGCATTTATCCAACTTTGCTCTCTGCTGGCCGTTATCTAGTACTGCAGATCAGCTAGAGCTCTGTAAGCAGGGAACACACACAAGCTAGAACATAATCATCCTTTTATTGTTTTGTCTTTTTACTTCTGCCCACACAAGGTAGAATAAATGCAGCAAGAAACAAAAGCATTCATTCACAGTCAAGAACAAGAGAGCATATATCCATACAGACACACATGAATGAAGAACTGGGACTCAGACATGATGTAAAGCAGAGATTACAGATTGCTGTTTGTGTCATTTTTATGCAAAATGCCTGGCGTAAATCCAAATTTTTCAAAATGTAATGCAGCAAGGTCTATAAATTCCTCATAATCATATGGCTGCCAGTGAAGGAGAAGTAAACATTACATAGAAAACAACCAAATAATAGTAGATCTGCCTCGGTGTTTTTCAGAATTGTTGTGTTATTGTAAGATATTCATAAAGATGCAGATGTTTTCTGTGCAAGAAAAGCGGTGAAAACACTTTTCTTAGCAGTCAAGTGTTTGTATCTTTGCTTTGAAAGATTTAAAAACAAGTTCCCTGCATTTCTTATATAAATTCTGATTTTAACAACACGGATCACACATTTGTCGCACCGTATTGTTTGTTTGCAGGAAATCCAACTGATGCCTGAATGCTTCATTGTTTAGTGAGAAATAAATAAAGTCAGAATGCATACTATTGCAAGTAATCAACGGGCTCCAATTTAGTTTGAGAAGGTCATTTAGGAGTCATGAAATTAGGAACTGCGAATAGCTCGCAGTGGTCTCTGACTGAAGTCTGAGGTCTAATTATGAACAAAGAGATTTGGCGGTGTTGACCTGAGCAGTGGCACTCTGCCAATTCACTTCAGTTCAATCTGTGAGAGACAGAAAAGTCAGACGAAATAGGACGTCTATGCAGAATATGTGTGTGTGTGTTTGATATGTGTCAACCTGTGTGTGTGTGAGAGCATGTGTGGGTGCGTTAATACCGAGCTGTCTGAAAAAGAGAGATCACACAGCCCTCAGTGTTCATTTACATATGCAAGATTCATTTACATATTAATTCTTATTTGTTATTCCTATGTGTTTGTGTGTGTGTCTTTGCATGTGTGTGCGTGTGTGTCCTAGATAACCTTTTCAAGCCTAGAGAGAGGTCTATATCAGGCAGAGAGATGCAGCTGAGGTCCAGACGGTGAGTCCTCTAGACCAAACCCAAGTCAGACGATGTCACTCTGCTTCTGCTCGCTCTTTGTTATTTTATTCATCACAGTCCATCAAGCTTGTTTGCCATATCTAGCATGCATGCACACAAAGCACATTCACACATCTGCCTACTGTATGGATACAATAGATGTTTGACACCCAAATGTCTTGGCAGGAGATATGAGCGAACCCTCTGTATACCTTATCTCTTACTTTTTTTTCTCTCTTTCCTTATCTGGAAAGGCACACCTGATCAGATGACGGCTGCCCATTGTAATTTTTTTCCTCAAAAGCAACACTATCTGACTTGGAGGATCTCTTAACAAATTGCCTGTAGTTGTGGGAGTGAAAAAGGAGTCTGTGCGAGACCTGTTTATCAGTGCATCCAGGTTTTTACCGGCTGTGGTCTCACTAGATAAAACCTCGTCTGCGGTATGCCAATCTGTTGGCATGGCTCAGCCACCCTCAGACTTCTGATATTCCCCTGCCCTGTATGAATTTGCCTTTTTTCGTGTGTGTGTGTGTGTGTGTAGGATTTACAACAAGCTGCCAGAGGTGACAAAGAAAAAGGAGGAGGAGAAAAAGAGGGCTGTGTCACAGACCAACAGACAGCGAGCGGAAGTCTTTAAAAAGGTAGAGTTGGTGTGATTTAGCAAAAATAATTTCCTGATCCTTTGATTAGTTTACATGAGATGAATCAACTTTAAATTCTCGAGTTCTGATTCAGTAGAGCAGAAAATGCAAATAAGTTGTATAAGTTTTGAGTTTCACACATCTTTCACTGTTTAACATCATACCGAGGCCTAATTTTTTAATGTGGATGCCGAAACATTTTCCACCCAGGAGATGGACAGAGGTTGAGTTTAACATTTTATTTTCCTTTGCACAGACAACAAAACTACACATAACCTGAAATTAAGCTGAACACAGTCACAGAACAAAGATTATTTAAAGGGAGGAGCTTCTTTCTTTAATGTGTTAACATGTTAACAAAAAAAAGTGTACATTTGGATGTTTTTATTGCAATTGATTTGAAACCTACATGAAATACTCACTTTGAGCAAATGAAGTTTATCAGGATAAAATGGTTTGATCAGTGTCCAGCAGAGGTCACTGTTTGCCTGCTAAAGCCAGCTGCTCTGTCATTCATCACACTGGACTCTCACATAAATAAATACTTATTCAGCATTCAGGTTTACCTCAAACACTAATTCTCATTTTTGTTGCATGAAATCTGTTACTTGGTGTCTTCTTCAAACCCAGAAGAACCAATCCATCACTATAAAGTCCTCTCACTCTTTACAACACCATAGGATTCCAGCACAGTAGAAACCTCACTGTATGATACCTTATATATAACTGATGTTAAGCAATGCTGACATTTTACATAGGAGCTGCTTTAACAGGCAGTTTCCACATCCGCCAACGGTGAGGGGGCAAACATGGAAAATGAATGATATATTTAGGACATGCAGTGTCAGACGGATCCATTCAGCTTCACCTGCAGGTGAGCCTTCACTCAGTCTCCCATTATAAGCTCAACCAGAACAATGAAGTCGCTGTCAGTCAGGCGAGATGTGAAAAATGTGAAGCGATATCTCCAATCTCGTACAGATAATTACACAATGGTGGTGGGCTCAGATAGTGAGAGAGAGAGAGAGCGAGCGCACACGTTTTTGATCTCATTCAAGATGATCCAAAGCTGATTGGCTTCTCTCTCCTCTGCCAGGTAAACCAGGGACTGCCTCAGGCCCTCGTTAAATTTTTAAAGAAACAATGAATCAACAGTAAATCAGCGTTGCGTGCTTTACTGACGTCAAACGTAAGAGAATATTGTGTTTCTTGGTGAAATGGAGCAGTTGTGATTCCAGTGTGACCTCACAGGGCCCAACCGCAGAGATCGGAAGAAAAGGAGTGTGTTCCTCCCCCGAGAAAGACTGTTTGCTTTAGAGGCCTCTTTTTTTTTTTATCAGAAAGTGTCCAACACATACAGAGAGGAAACCCAGCGAAGACTCACGTCGGGGTGTGATAGAGCAGGAAAGAGGGCGGGTGGGTTCCGAATGCCGGCTGAAATGAGATTCCAGCTGTTGGGTGGTACTGTAAGAGGAGCGTGATTGCATAGCGGGGGTGTATGGTCAGATAGCAAGCTGGAATTATACCCCTACCTTGGTTTGGCCACCTCAGGGGTGAGGCTGATGGAAGCTGAAGCCAATTTAGCCGTGGGAGTCGCTCCTGTGTGACGCCGAGCTGCTCTTAAGAGGCCGATGGAAGGGAGGTGTTACTGCAGATGGATGCGTTTTTAAAGTTATAAATACCGTTCTTGTTTTTCTTCTTTTGCAGAGACTTCTGGACCAGATCCTGCAAAGATAAACCTGGCACTGAAAGGAAACTGGGGTCAATTCACTGCTCATTCTTGCTCCTTGTGTATTAAAAATGGCGGTTTATTTTATTCAAGTAATCATCTATCCAAATCACTGCCATGCCTGAGCATAAGTGTTTCACAAGGCTTGATTTCTGCTAATACAGTGTTGTATCATTGCATTTATCATCGGGCAATTACCTGTAACATCTATATGATTTTATTTGACATGCAACAGAGACATGTATGAGTTTCTCCATATGGCACTTTGGCAGATTCATTCATTTGTTGACCACAATCACTCTAAAAAGTATTCTATTGATAAAAATAGTTGATGATTTGAAGGGCGTAGCTATTAATTGTTGTCGTGTACAGATATTGACAAAGCCCAGCCTCTCCCACCTCCCACCCACATGCTCATAATTAAAAAACGAGATGGGTTTGCCACTTGAAGTATTAATCTCATTTTCCTGCTCAAGTTAACATCGGTGATTAAATGGAGCACAGATTAATCATGTAATTTACCTAATTTCTTTCTCGCTAACATCCTTCCTTATCAAACATATATTGGCAAATGAAATAAAAGTATTCCAAGGGTATTCTGAGTTGAGGACGGTGTCATTTTCTAGGAAATTGAGTGCTGAACACCTTGACTCTGTCATTGGCACAGTCCTGTAGGCGTTCGCGGAGTGCGAGGGGAGGAGGCTACGTTTGGTCGTCGGCTTCGCGGCTGCCTCGAGGCCTCTGGAACCTCCCATCCGGAACAGCGGAATTTCAAGCTAATCGAACTCAGGAGACACGCAGCGCCTGTGAAAGAGGCCTTTGTCGCAGAGCTCCAAACCAGAGATGACATTGTAATAAGAGAGGAGACTCCTGAGCACAGCCGGGGACCACAGTCCACATATAGCCTGCAAAGGTGACTGACATCTCTGTGGCATTTAAACAGAGCCTGCTGGGATGAGGGGAGAGCAGGGAGAAGGATGTGTGCAGCAGTTTTCTCAGAAAAAAAGCACACTCTGTAAACACAAACTGTCGGGGCAGACTTTTGCTGAGCCGGTTGGTTTGCAGTAAATACGACACTTTAAATCCCAAACAAAATGCTTGATTAAAAGTTTAATAAAAGTTGAAAGAATGGGCCAGCTGCAGTGCACTCCAAGGTTCTCTCCGTTCGTAATGATCGATTATGGCCCACAGGTGTAGTTAACAGTATTGATATCTACAGGCTGGGTCATTTAAGAGAGTATTCCACATGGGAGAAGAGTTGTGCTGCCATGGAGGCTGGTTCCACACGGCGAGCACAGACTGACAGGCGGTTGTATACAAGGAGACATGCTCTTGTCTGTCAGCTCCTCTCTCTGAGGCATCATGTGTCTGTGTGTCACATTGCGATCTCTGCATAATGTGGACTATGTGCTCTGAGGCCCCTCGTCTGGCTTCCCAATGGCCTCGAATGACTCAACCGCCCCAAGGGTTGGACTGATACGTCTGGTTTAGAACAGAGAACACTGGCTGAGCTTAGGAAGCTAATGGTTTATGTCCTATTAAAAATGTTTGGTCATTAGCTATTTCAGTGGGACCTATGTTATCAGAACATCTGAAGAGTTCATTTGCAAAAACAGATAACTCCATTTTTGTAGAGTTTCAGACAACATATTTTTTTGTTCTTTGCTTGAGACAATATCAAACTGAAGCTGAGTGGATTTGACTCAGAACTGACAAAAATAGAGATAACTTCAGTTTAATTGATATTGTCTCAGGTAGAGGATGGAAAAGTGGGTTTTCTGAAGGTTTGTGAAGATGGAATTATCTGGTCTTCAAATAAATTCTTCATCTAGTCTCATCGATATTTCTTTCTAGCAGGTGATCTGTGATTTAGTGTGATTAAGATCTACCCAATTAAAATCTACATTCTGTTCATGTATGAAGGCCTTGGAAAAAAAAACCAATAATCCCGGCCCACCAGGACTCATGCACAGCAACGCTCCCATACTTATTATTAGTTCTAGTTTGACATTTCACATACCTTGTTGTACTTTTCTAGTACTCTGCTGTATTGTAAATACCAGCAACGTATGCACCTTATTGTAAATACTAACAATTTTTGCACCTTTTTTGTAAACACCAGCATTTT